GAGTTGATAGCCCCATCTATGAAACCTTTCATCCAGACAATGACCTCCTTTGACACCAACACAGTCGCCCTGTTATTCTCTCTGATTTTCATTGCAACCTCACCTTTGATCCTTTCCTCTTCGAACTTGAAAGTCTTGGCTTCGATCGACACCTCAGACCTCCTCCTTCCTACTACTCTGAACCTTCTTTCGTCCTCCATAGGGGCATCACAAATGTTTCAAAGGATCATTATTGATTGGCAGGTATTCCATTGCATATTGTGGGGAGTACACAAAAGCACCTCAGGGAGAAAAGATAGTAGGAACAAGCCAAGAACAGCAAGGCGTTCGTAATGAAATTTTATGTAATACTCCAAGCCGAACCTAGACACACATGAGGAACAGATCCTTTCAGCTGCATGGGTTATTACCAAACACCAGTGTTTTCTATGTCGTTACTTAGGCATCTCCAAAGGGGAAAAGGTTTTGGGTGTTGATACCACAATCTGGCAACAGATCGTTGTTACTTTCAGCTGCATGGGTTTGCATTACTGCTAGAGAAGGTAATGCTTATGCTAAGGTTTCTGGTGTTGATACCACAATCTGGCAATCTCACCCTTACCGGATTATTCATATAACCTCCACCATGTATCGACGTTTTTTGTAACACCCAAATAGGGAACAAATGGAAATCTTCATGTAGCTTTTATGTTGATGCATTCTGTTAGGTTGAAGAGGTGCACTTGATGCATAGGTTGCTGCTGAAGAATCACGTGGTATCATGAAATTGTGAAAGTTACCTTGGTGATTAATTTGCTTGCCTGAAGAAGTTGAAAGTGTAATGAACAGGTCATATCATACAGTGAAAAAGCTTTTTGATTGAGCTATACTTCATCAGTTGTTGAGCTAAATTTTATTCTTTTCTTTTGTGCCCAGTTCCAGTTTATCTCATTTATTTGCTTACTATATGTTCTATTTCGCTTTTAAAGCATCCTAACCTTGTTCCTAGATGAATATTTTTGCTTCTCTAATCACTAGAACTTGATTTCTTTCTTCATCCTTGGTGCCTTGTTGACTTGTTTTAGGGTCATTTTTTTTGTTGTTACAATTTTGGTTCATGGTTCTTGGGTTGTGTTGTTAAAAGGAGAAGGGAGGTGAAGGGTCCATTAAAAATATAAAAATTCAAAATAAAGCCAAGGTTCAAAGTATCAACACAGGCCGATATGCCAGCCTGTATCGGTGCTTTTTTTTTTTTAAGTTTTATTTATTTCTTTTCAAAACCGGTTCAGAGGGGTCGGTTTAAGTCCTGGATACCCTCTGAACCATGGTCTGACCGGATACAACCCCTGTAGGGGCGTATCGGGAAGCCACCGGCACAATACATATCGGCCCATACGGGCCAATACGTATCGATACTTTGAACCTTGAATAAAACCCTATTGAGTTTTAAACTCTTAATTGTCTCTAAGAAACTCCATTTCTCTCATAAATAAGATCATTCTTATAATTCTCTCTCTCTCTCTCTCTCAAGTAGATGGATTGGGTCAGGTTAAGGGTCAAACCATGACCAACTCTAAATATGAATCTTAGCCTAGACCCAAATTGACACCACAAATCTAAATTTGCCAACTAAAACCTAACTTCTATTAAGCCCATGCATTGCATGGATTTACTTACTAGTGTATCAGAAATGGGTAATGGCTTTTTTCCCTATATTTAGAGATTATAAGTGTTGTACTTTGTTTTACTTTGAGTATCTACCAAACATGGATGCTAGATTTACATTTGGGATTGGGAAATATCAAACATGAACATCTTAATCTACTAATAATCTTGGGTACGCCTGCTGATTGATTGAAGGTTTTGTTTAGGCATTAGTGTGAATGCAAATGGGTGAACGATTTTCTTGGTTGGAACAATAAATTGTATTGGCCAATCTATTCTGGGTAAAGCTGCAACTTGGACTGAGTTAGCCCTAACCTAACCTGACAAAGTCAGATTGGGTTGGTTCAGGTTGAAGTTAGGTTAGGGTTGAAAAATATGACTTAAATTTCATATTTATACGTATAGTTATTATTATAAATGATAACACTGTTTTACAGATTTACTGTATGATAACGCTTGTTTTGACCTCCAGGCTGCAAATTACTTGGACATTAAAAGCCTGCTGGATTTGACATGTCAAACAGTAGCAGATATGATAAAAGGAAAGACTCCGGAAGAAATCAGAAAGACATTCAACATCAAGAATGACTTTACCCCCGAGGAGGAGGAGGAAGTGAGAAGGGAGAACCAATGGGCCTTCGAATGATGCTAAGACCTTTGTCTTCTGTGGTGTGATGGAAGTTGATATTATGGATTCAGGTGGTAGATAGCAGCAACTGATCTCTTCATCTCTTGTCTCTAATCTGCTATTTTCTATACAAATATTTTAGTGGGTACAATATATGAAATGTATATACTTGTTGGCTTTCTTTTAGCTTCTCTTCATATTTCCTACGAACCTCGAGTCAACCACCTTTTATCCCTCTCCTTGATTAGTTGTTAGTGCTGTTTGTGTATCTTGCTTCTTTTGTGATTATTAAGGTTGTGTTTGGTACTTCTACTTCAACGTGGTCAATACAAATTTTTGAGATATTATCTTGTCACATCACACTATAATATAAACTAAAAATATATTCTCAAAGATTTGTATTAATTACTAGAAATATTCTCATAAGATTTGTATTAACCAACTTAAAACATTATAAGTAAAAGTGACAATGACACCAAACACAATCTAAATCACTCATGGTAAATGAAGCAGCCCACATATATGAAACATCCAACTCACCTCATCTTGCGAGGCTCTCCGATTGCTATGTGCTGTCTGCAATCCTTTGCAACTGAGGTATCTCGTAAAGTTTGATTATCAATAGAACTTCCTTTCACCAAAACAAATAGGGCAAAATTTTTAAACTACCCTTATGGTTTAGCAAATTGATGAAATATACCCTTACTGTTTATATATTGTCTTCAATTACTCTTAAGTTTTTTAACAATTGACTAGTTCTATTCCTATCGTTAGCGTCCGTTAATGTTTCGTTACAATTCGTGCAAATGTGACATCATGTTATGCAGAATTTTTTTTTGTAAAATCCAATATTACCCCTTTATGGACAAATTTTCAAAATGAAATTGAATGTATTTGATAGTTGTTGGTTTTCTGATATGGATTGCATTTCTACCAAATGAAACATACGGACAGTGTATGTCCATAGCTCAACATCAGAACAGTCAGGGTAGGTGCCGGCTCGGAATTGATATCAATTCACAGGCGGGCGTGGGTGCATAGAGTGTGGGTATCGGTCCATTTGAATGTTTATAGCCCTGCAGTATAAATCAGAAATCTGCATTGGGCAAATCCATACTCTCCATAAAAATTATAGTGCTGCTTCAAATCAAAAAGTTAATTTTTCGAAATCAGAAATCCTTTTCAGTAGAAATACCCATCCAAAATTTCAAAGAATCATGGCTCGTCTCCTGAGGATGAAGAGAGTAGGTAAACCTGGGGTCTATCTTGGGCTCCCAACAGAAGTTCAGAGATCCAAGGGTAAAACATTTGAATTCATAATCAACAGAGTAGCAAGGAGGGCTGAGGGCTGGAAGGAAAATTTTCTCTCCTATTCTATGTACTGCTTTATCCTACCACAAATTGTCTGTAAAGCATTTTCCAAACCACAAAGGAAAATTTGGTGGGGAGTGTCAAACAATAGAACCAAACCAGCCTGGATTAGATGGAACCTTCTTTGTAAGCACAAAAATGATGGTGGGTTGGGGTTTAAGAAATCCCATTTATTTAACTTTGCTCTTCTGGCCAAACAAGCATGGCAGGTTGTCGCCGATCCTTCTTCATTAATGGCACAAATTTACAAAGCTAAATACTTCAGGTCTGGTGATTTCTTAGAAGCAAAAGTGTCAAGAGGGTGTTGGGGAGCTTATGTGCTGGAAAAGAAATTATCCAAAAGGGGTGTTACAAAAAAATTGGAAAAGGGGAACAGGTTAACATTTGGAAGGATCCTTGGCTTCCGAACTTCCCAAATTTCCGGGTCCCAACAAAACTCTGATCCAAGTTTTGAATGGAGAGTTATCGAGCATCCCCACAGACATCTGATTTGTTTTTGAAGACATTAAAATCATAGTTAGTTCGTTTTCTGAAATCACGCGTCGAGTGCATTGATTTCTCTCATTCCCCACTCTGCCTCACTGGCCTCAAATACAAGCTTGATTCCTGGTGGACAAAGCAACATGAAGAAGAAATAAGTGAGTCTGTGCACTTCAAATTTCAACACCGAAGACTAGTCAGCAGAAACCCAAATTCGAATTCGGAACCATACGAGCAGGCGATACAATCACAGCATTTCATAGTGATCAAAGAAGAAGAAAGAAAAAGGAAACAGTCTTACAATCATAGCTGCCAGGGAGCTTGGACGGAAGGGAGCCACCTCCGGTTGTTAGCTCTACAGACAACATAACCTCTCCGCTTTTGGCTTCATTTTCCTTATTTCTAAGAGCAGTGTTTCAGTTGTTGCTGGCTACATGGACTAATGAATCAGACAGTGCGTTCACATTTGATGTCTCTTGAATAATCTTAGACTTCTTGCCTTCATTGGGTCCCCTTGTCGAGACGTAAAATTGGCATCTAAGCCTTTGATCTCTGTAGCTGATGAGTGATGACAGTGGAGCTGATCTTATCCAAGAGCTTGCCTTTGTTTGTTCTAGTATTAATAAGGTATACTACCTTTCTGAGTGAGAACTTACCATTAGTTACTCGTATCTGCGACAATGAAGATGCTTCGAGTGCATTGATTAGTCTAAATGACACAAACCATTAGCCATGAAATTCATCCTTCGATAGTGGTGCAGTGTCGAATTCCACCCACTATGGGTGAGAAAGCCATTGATGGCCGGGTGAGCCAATACCTCCTCGGGGAAGCCATCCCACTATGTACCCCCTCTCCCTTGTCTAGAGGTGGCAATTGGGTGGGTTGGGTTGGTTTGGTTTGGGTTGAGTTTCAACCCAACCCATCTAATCCACCAATCCATTAATGACCCAATTAGATAGAATAAAATGGGTTAGGTTCAACCCAAACCCACCTGAACTCAACCCAACCCAATCCAACCCATTTAGATAAAATAATGAAAATTACACAAAAATAACCCAGAAAATAAAGAAAAATAACATAAATTACAAAAAAAAAACAAAGAAATACACAGAAAAATAACATAAATTATGAAAAAACCCAAAAATTGAAGAAAAATAACATAAAGTACAAAAAACAAATAAATACATGAAAAATAACAAATTACAAAAAATAACCCAGAAAATAACATACATTACAAAAATAACCCAAAAAATATCATAAATTACAAAAAAAAAAGTCCAAGAAAATGAAGATGAAATTTCACCTCCACTTCAATGTCCAAATCCCTCTAGCTTGTCTCCAGATTTAAGAGTTGGGAATAATTCCTCTTGGGATTAAAAGAAGATTTTAAAATTTAACTGGGAAAAGGAATGAAATGCTCCAACCTCGCCAAAATCCTAAATTTATATACAAGTGATAAATGAACAGTTGCAACGTGTTTGAGAGATGTGAATGACTTACTAGTAGTTAGAGGTGTAAATCGGGTCGTGTCACCCATGGCCCAGCACGGTGCAACACGAATTTGGACCAGCCTGGCACAGCCCGACACGACGGTCTGTGGGCCGTGCCAGGCCCGGCATGATCGTGCGGGCCGTACTGGGCCTGGGGTTTTAGGTCCACGAGCCAGGCCAACACGGCACAATCGAGCTAGCTGTGCTGCCTACAGCACGTGTACTAGCACGACCCAGCCCGCAGCCCGACCTAACATGGCCCAACACAACCCATATATATTATTTAATATTTATATATATTATATATACTATATTACATAAACTATAATTATATAATAATATATTAATAAAATAAATATTTTTTTATTATACTAATTTATTTAATTATTGTATATATAAGCAATCGTATACATCAAAATTCATATGAAATTAAAATTTTAAGTTTTTTGTCAAATTTTTTAAATAAATAGCTTTGGCCTGATGCACGGTCCGACCTAGCCTAAGGCTCAGCCCAAGGGCCAACCTAGCCCACGGCACGGGCCCGCATAGGCCTGGGTCGTGGGTTGTGCCAGGTCGACCCCCCAAGTTATCCCAGGGGAGAGGCGGCACGGCCCGCACTTTGCGCAAACCGCCCACGGGCCATGCCGTATCGGCTCGACACGACCCATTTTACACCTCTACCTGTAGTTTGTGCACCAGTATCAGATTTCCAGCATGAACCGTGACTTCAAGAAACAACGCTATCACATTAGTCTCAAACAACGCTATCACCATAAGAATCAACGATGCACTCTAATGTTGAAAGCAATGTTCTCTAACGATTGCAGTAATTACTAAGAAATATAGTTCTTGGCATATAGAGAGAGAGAATCATGGAAAATGGGAGGAGTAAAGCTCTTTCCAAATAAAAAAGAAAGTAGCCTTATAAGAACCTGTTGATGCCCATAACCCAACCCACCCAACCCATTAAAAATTTTTATTGGGTTGACCCACTTACTAAAGACCTAGGATTAACAAATACAACCCAACCCGCTAATAAATGGGTGGGTTGGGTGGGTTGGGCGGGTTGAGTGGGTTGGGTTGTAAATTGCCCCCTCTACCCTCATCCCCTTCCACCACTTCTATCAAGATCTGACCCTCTCCATTTTTTCAAGCTAACAAGTCCGATTCCGAAACCAACCTGATTGAAAATATGCTAAAGAGATTAGGAAGATGCATCTTGCTAGCATTCGCTAGTTTCCAAACTATCACTAGTGGATGGTGGAACAGGGGAGAGCGGAGACAAAGGAGAGAGAGAGAGAGAGGTGGAAATCTCTTTGATGTTGGCCATGGAAGAAAGAGAAAAGAAGCTCGATTTTATTTTCTTCTTCTTCTTCTTTCTTCTTTGTTAGCTTTGTCCCTCTTTTTGAAAAATTTTATCATTCGATCTAATCTCATCTGGTCGTTGACGTGGGTACGTTTCAATCCACTCGAACTCCTCGTTCTTGAATTAGCCAATTTGAGCTCGTCTGATTTCGATTAGATTGGAAAATCCCTATAACCAAACCGAACCAATTCATGAACACTCAATTTCAGCTAAATTAGTAGTCTCATCTTTGACAAATAACAATATTTTAATCTCCAATAATTATTGAAAATATATTGATAATGAAAAAATACAATAATTACAAAAATACAATAAGTACTAAAAATATATTAACTTAGTCAATAAATAGTATAATCTCAAATAATAGTTTAATCTCTAATAAATATTAATTAATAAGTTGTAACAATAATACAGTATGTACAATAAATTACATTTAAAAATTTCAATAATAGTAGTTTAATTTCCATTAATTATTGAAAATTTTCTGTTAAATAACAAAACAAAATAAGTTTATACATAACCATTGAAAATACATTTATCACAACAAGCAATAAATAATTACTAAAATACAATAAATATTAATTTTAGTATATATAATTATATAATAAATACAGATTAAGAGTTTAAAATTGTTATTAATAAATATTCAATTTTTTGAAAGTTATTTTCTCGAATTATTACTTGATATAAGTGAAATTAGTTATTTACAATATTATGTAAAAATATTAAATTCTTATTAATTTCAATATTATGTTATAATTGTTTTTCTACTTTTCAGAATTTTTTAACTATTTAAAATCTAGTTATGTTAAATTTATTACATAATTTCTTTACTTTAACTATTTAAAATCTAGTTATGTTAAATATTTTGTTATTTAATATATTAAGTTATTTAAATACTTAAATAATATGTAAAATATTTAAGTTAAAAAATATTAATTATTTATTGAATTTAATTACCTATAAAATCATAATTTGTACTATTATTACATTAATTCATTATTAATTTTATAATATATTAAATTATTAATATTTTCAATATTGTGTTATAATTATTTTTCTACTTTGAAGAAATTTTTTAAATTTATTACATAATTTCATTATTTTAACTATTTAAAATATAGTTATGATAAATACTTAGTTATTTAAATAATCTATAAAATATTTAAAATTTTTTGTTATTTGAATTTTATTTATTTAAAGCTATTACATATTATTAAGTATTTGAAAAACATTTAAATTGATAATCTAGTAAAACATAATTTAATTGTTAGTACATAATTTCGTGATATATTTTGTAAAAATATAAAATTATTTTTTGTGTTTTTAATCAATATTTTAAAGTTATTATATAATTTTGTTAGAATATTTAAATAATTCTTAAATTTTTTAATCCAAATATAGATAAAATGCAAGGGAGAGGGTAAATAAGAATTAGAGATAACTTAGGAGAGAAACTATCAACTAAATTAGAGATAATTTTGGAGAAAGTGGGGGATAGTGGGGGAGGTAGTTTAGGAGAAATTTTAGGAGAAAAAATTATTTAGGTTATTGGAAAAGTGCATCTCATTGATTATTTCAAAAATGACATGGAATTAAAAAAATAAAAAAATTCTTCACCGCCTTGTTTTATAATATGTAGATGTTATAATGATTTTTTTTTCTGATAAGCAAATAAACTATATTATAAGACGGAAAAAGATACAAAGTTTAAAATATCAAGCAAACAAGCTGGTTTATGATTAAAAAAACAAAAAGACGTTAGGGTGACCCTAAGATATGAACATGATATGTCCAATACATTTTAGGTGCCCACTTAGCCACCTAGGTGTTGTTTAGGTGATCAAGTGCCCTTGGCTGGGCACCTCACCTAATCAAGGTTCAAAATATCGATACGCCTGATACACCGGTAAGGGTGTATTGAGCGATATCGATAGTGTTTTTTTTTCTTTTTTTTTATTTTTTTTTCAAAATCAGTTCAGGGGGAACGGTTTAAAGCTCCTTCACCCCCTGAACCAGTCAAAACCCCGATATACCCCCTGTAGGGGTGTATCGGGAAGCCACCGACACGATACGTATCGATACTTTGAACCTTGCACCTAATTGCCTTGGCTTATGAGTTATGGAAATTATATTATTATAAGATATCGATATGTGTATTAATATATTCTAGTATGTATTAGATTCCATTTATGTGTTGTTTTAAAATTTTGCTATTTAAATTAAAAGATCTGAAGGGTTTTGAAAATAGAAAAAGAAAGAAAAATACAAGTATAAAGAGTTTTTTTTTTAATTCTCTCTCTCACACATTAAATAAAATAATAATCACATGTGAAATGTCTTTTTTATGATTGGTAAATATACCATGTGAAACTTTAACTAACGAAAAAGTAGACCTTGTGACATTTTCTTCACAATTGATTGATTGATATTGAAATGTAGTGAATCACAAGCTATCTTAAATTTTATCATATAAAATTATAGCATTTTCTAGTTGCTAATTTGATATGAAGTTGCCCTGTTTATATTAGTATCATGTCATTTTTAGAGTAATGAAATTAATTTATTTTAAATACTAGTTTCATATATGATGATTTATCATGTTTTGAGAGATGTTCTTAATAAAGAGAATTGTTATTTCTTCAATTAATATGCATGTCGAATGTTATATAAAACAAAGGAATTAGGCTTTTTAATTTTATGAAATTCTTAACTAGGTACCCCATTGTTGCCCAAAATTGCCATTATTTCTTGACAATTATGTTGACCTATTAACACATAAAAGAAATAAGGAAAAAAGTTTAATGAAGATCAAAGGGGCTTTTTTTTTTTTGGGGGGGGGGGGGTGTTATAAAAACCTTGCCCTCTCAACAAGAAGCTATACAATAGAGAAATAACTCCTCACACATAATTCTGCCTAATGAAGACTTTATGAAGCATACATACAGAGTGTTTAGCCTCAATGATCTACAAATTCCTTCCACTTATCTGCCAAAGCTTCCTATTCTCTTTAGACTTGGCCTTTTTTCCACTGTTACCCAATATTGGTTTTGATATTCCTTCTTCATAGATGTAGAGCTTCCATTTTAGATTTTAAAATATTGGTATTACATAGTGTATTGGTAAGGTTAAAAATGGATAGGCATGGAATACGATTTTGACATTCATGGTTCCATGGATAAACTCTTTGGAATGCCACAGATGCTTTTTTTCTTTTTTTGCAAGTAATTCCAAATATACATTGATAACACCAAATTTAATTTAAGGTTGAAACAAATAAAGCATTCATATATGAAGAAATTCATTACAACCAAACATAAACTTTATTAATAAGGCATCAACCAAGAGTCCAGGACACATGCTATATAGCTTGTTATAAATGACCACATGTACAGTCATTAATATGTATAGTTAATCTAAATACTACAATAGATCTATAAGAATGTAGAAAATCCAAGAGTCCAAGACAAATCGTATGCAACTTTTATATTTTAATTGCTAAATGGATCATTTTATCACTTTTACTTTATGTACATTACAAAAAAAAAAATCAATTTTATCTTATGTTCTCTATATGCTAGCTAATGGCTGTATAACTTCTTAAAATTTGTTATTGTAAACTAAGTAAGTTTTATTTATTTTTTATTTCCATAAAATAACAAATTTGTTATTTATTGTAAATTAAATTATTATTATTATTATAGAAATATATAATCTTAATTTAAAATGTCTATATAAGTTCCATTAGAATTTCTATCATGCCATACACAATTCATGAACTTTAATTACTAAAAGAATTATTCTGTTTTTATTATTTTATTTTTATTTCTATAAGCTATCAAAAATTTTAAAAACCATTTTTGACATAAATTGTTGATGGATCAAGGGATGTCAAAGATCATTCAGATCCACTTTATAGTTCTTTCCTATCATATAAATCATACACGCCAGTCTCTATGAATGACATGTTACCCAAATAGCTTTAACAAAGTTCTTTTTTTTTTTTGATAAATAAATAGCTTTACAAAGTTCAACCCACTTTAATAGAACAACTGCCATTAATAAAAAAGTATACCACTTATTCCTGTTTGAGTGCCACAAAGAGCAAAAATATGTTGGATATGTTCCTTTAGAAATGAGATGGTTAGTGGCAAAAATTTTGTCAAGATGGACAATCTACATGAAGAAGCAAATTTTAAAAGGGGCATCCTGGACCCATATAGGACTAATTAAATAAGTTATACATGAACCGTTGTTATCAAAGCTGACTTAGGGCAACTACTGAACAATAAACTGGATCAATATGATAAACCCCCCCCCCAATTCCTGCAATGTAACCACAACTTTGAAACTTGACTAACTTGGTTTTTAATTCAGGAAATTCATAAGTTTGTATAGAACTACAATACATTAATATATATATTGAAAACCCAAACGAATTTAGGGAAGCATGAATGCAGATGAGAGGCCAAATTTGAAAAACAAAATCAATGTACTCATAATCTGATGAGAAACATATATCATTAAAAGGGAACTGGTTAATTACACTCATGCATGTTGTGTAATATATGCTTAATATCAATGGCATGAAAACCCACACCCGGCAAATGGATATTGTCTAATTGATCCAATTTCAAATTTGACTAATTAGGTGGATTGCAGCTCAAGAAAATACTCAATTGGTTCATCATGCATGAACAACTTATCTAATTGAATGACCAATCTGGAAATGGCATGTGAATGAAATGGAAGAAGATTCTATGGAATAGGGTATTGATCAAGCATTCTAGTATTAGGAAACCAATACCACAGGTTCTTGAGATTACATGGACAATTTTTCAAAGAAAGTTTGCTCTCATTACAGTTCCTCTGATACTCATAAACAAGAAGCAATGATTAACCACGTGACCTTGTCTCAATGAAGGAGGAAACCTTCAATTTAAGCTCCTAACAAAATCATTTTCACAATTTTACAGTCTTCCAGACATTAGACAAATGGAGAAAAATACAGTGTCAGCATGTCTTAATTCCATTACTTAATAGATCAGATCCAAAGAAACTAAATTCATTTTGATATTCAAAAGATTAAAAAAAAAGAAAAAAAAAAGAAACAGGACAGAGTGGCTTCTTTCTATTTTGATGAATGACAAAATAAGTTTAAGTGGAAAATTTTAACAATGCATATGACACGCAATATTGAAGAAGAATAGAATCAAATAGTACACAAGGAGATTCAATCTTATACTAAAAACAGAATGGATATACAAGAAACATAATCAAATAGTCCTTGGTAGTCATGGTATCCAGATATCCCAGATATCTGGATATCCCATTACTTAAGAGAAGATAACAGGTACCAGTATAAAGTTCCATTGGGGTTTCTCATTCTTCTATAAGAAAAAGCTGAAAGAGGTATTCTATTGGTCCAAAGCTTCACTGTGAACGAAAGAAAAATAGCCTCCCATACATCAAGAGTTCAGGCACTGAACTTATAAGTTATAACAGCGAAAAAAAAAAAAAAACTCTCTGAAGGACATTGTCTCCTGTTTTATAATTACACATCAGTGGTTCAGCTTGAGTTGCTTCCTTGATTCTCATTGTTCAAGGTAGATGAATCTGCAGCACCATTACCTTTCGTGCAATCAGTCTCAAGCAATTTACCATCCTTGGGTACCAGGCAAGGGATCCCATCAACGATCTATAAAGCAAAACTAACGGGATCAAACTATAATACGCAAATAAGTCCCATAACTCGTAATACCAAAATATTGTAAAAAACACAGCACCCATTCTAGAATGCCTCACTCCTGAGTTTTGGTTCAGTGCCAAATGAGAGAAATAAAAATCAGACAATGATCTCCAACCAAAAAGGCAAAAACAGGACTTAAATTAGCTTTAACAATAGCAACAGTTTCGAAATTCGAACAGATAATATCTAAAGTTCTTAAAATCGAAATAGAAAAAAAAAAAAAAGATTGAGGCATGAGAAGAGAGCGCTTACAGGATAGGAAACGCCCAAATCGTCACAGACAAGAGAACCCGAATCCTCGTTCACCCTGTTTAAATGGCAGACCAGATTTTTCTGGGCGCTTAGGGCAAAAGGGAGACGGACAAAGAGAAGATAATCTTGAGCAATTAATTAAACAACATATACCTCAAGGGTTGCTTGGAGAGTGGGCAGACAAGAATTTCCATGAGAGTCTTATTGATGCCGGCACCAGCATTCTTGAGGAGGGCTCTGCTTGTTCTCACCATTTACTCTCACTTTTCACAGTGCCTGCTTTTCCACCTCTTTAATGGCTTCAAGCCTTCGACTTCTCTGCTTGTTCTTCGTTGGTGGCAAACTGGCAATATCCGGCTACAAGGGTCAGGGCCTCAGGGGCCTGGCCCAGCTCAGACCGGGCCTATTTCTACCCAGAGTTCCCCGATGGGCCAGGCCCTAATTAAAGTGTTCAAATCAATGTTTTAACTTTTAAACACCAAGCCGGAACCGTTGGCCACCGGTTTTCAGGTCAATAGTTCGACCGTCCGAATGGATGGCCAGTTCCAATTAAAATGTAAAAAATAATTAAAATAAAAATGGTCAACTGTTGCCCGGGTCGAATGGGTCAATGACTCAACCATCCAGATTACTGGGTCATTGATCAAGTCAATAATTTTTAGCAGTAAAATGAAATTGGTTTTTTGGACGGTTTTCGGGCTAAATGGTCCAACCATCCAAATCAACAACGATTTGAAAACTATGGTTCAAATTATGAGAGGGTCCAAAACTCCAAATTGTGCCCGGTTTGTATTGCATATCTAAATACATGCAATATAGGATTAGGAGGTAAAGTATACATATAAAAACATAAACAATATAAATTCCAGCAATCCAAATGATGAAGATTAGTATTTTCAACCTGCCATCAAACCAGTTTGATTTGTTACCTGGTCAGTTAACTTTTATCTGCTGTACAACAAATATTTATGTACAAAAAGTTATTGACTTGATCAACGATTTGATGTCCTCTACAATTGATCTATTTAACATGATCAATGGGTCATGATCTATTCGAGTTTGGCTCATGAAAGACTTGATTTGATTCGATCTAAATCAAGTTTCAAGTAGAATTCAAGCCCAATAAAACTTGACTCGTGAGGTTTGTAAGTCTAATCTAACTTTTATATATATACATACATACATATAAATAAAAAATAAAAATGTTATATATAATATTTTTATTTTTTAAATTTTTTATATGTATACTTTTTATTTTTATATAATGTATTGGCAAGCCGAGCTTGCATAGCTAGATATTCAGCTCGGCTTGGCTCGATTTGAATCCACCCTTAGATAAAAAATATGATATTAGAGATACGTCTTAATTTTTCTACAATCTCAATATTTTTCTATAATTTATTTCCATTTTAACCCAAATGATTGAATTGCTATTCATCATTTAAATGAAAGAGTGGTTTTATTGTTGAGTTAGTTTTACAAATACTGATTTTATCTAATTTGATATCTATCTTGAATGATGCATCTTATCAACCCAACTACCTAAGATTTTTTTTTTTTTTTTTTTTTTTGTAAATGATGAACTAAAATTCAATAAAATAAAGAGAGTTTAGGCTAATACAATGCAAGAACTCTAACCACCAAGGCAACATAAATAAAGGAACTGAGTTTCTCCACACACCCCTAGTGGGCAGGAAGAACTAGCTAACCAATGAGAAACCAAATTTAGACTTATTTTAATAAAAACAAAAAGCACAATAATCAAAAGAGGCATCTAACGACCAAATATCAAGCATTATACCCCTCAGTTCAAAATCAACAGCATTAATCCTCCTCTTTAACTGGTCAATCTGATCAACTCTTGATGATAGCCAAATGAAGCCCTGACATATTCACACATGATTCTACTGCAATAAAACTATTACAAGCACGATCACACCTCGCAACCAGTAAAGACCTTCTTAAAAAAACAAAATAAAATAAAAAAACATTCACAAAAAATTAAAAAAAAAAACTTTGGAAAGGACCCCAAAGAAGAACAATGATTAGGGCCTAATCTGACGATAATAATCCAACACATCATTAGGAGTAGATACGATTTGCTCATGAATATTGTTGATGCTCGGATTGGCCGAGGGATCAACATGGTAAATTTTCTCCTAAGCCGAGGTGGTCAGCCAAGGTGTCCGAAGTGTGAGGTGTTCGAGGATGGAGGGTCAAATCCTGTGAGGAGAACAGTGTTAGAGACCTCGGGTGAGAACCTGAGATAAGGACTCTGACGATCAAGTCAGTACGTTTGTGCGAAGTGGCTGAGGCCTGAGGTATGAAAAGACTCAAACTGTGGGGAGGACAAGGAATTTCAAGGATAGCTCAGGAGTCTTTTGTTCTAGATCCCTTACCTTGGTGGTGGCACCTCCTATTTATACTTGAGGCCGCCAAGTCATGGCAGATCTCAAGCGGTTGAGATGAAGTCCGTATGCAAGGAGCACGACCATCTAAGGCTGCCAGGTGAGGCAACGAAATTGGTCCCACGAGACCCACCGAGCTTGTCCCTGAGTGCGCCCTGATTGGCCCCGCAAAGTCCATCGAGCTCGACTCTGCCTGTGCTTTGATTGGCTTCACCCTGCGACACACTAACAGACACGTATAGGCCCACCATTGGGCTAGCCGAATGCGCCTAGATCAAATAATATTATTTCTAAACTTCCAAATTGCCCATAAATAATAGAGCAATGGAAGTAAAAAGCTCAATTAGCTCCACCTTATAAAGGTTTGTCCATCATAAGCAAAAAAAGTACCCAAGGATCAAGGGCATCAAAGTGGTCCCTTAAGATCATTGAAGTCATACCATGAAATAATATGGGTTGTCCAAAGTCCATATAATGAAACCTAACAGAATAATATAATAGAGACAAAGGAGACTATAAAAAAGGCTTCAACTCTCAAAATACATTGCCATGTAGGGATCCAAACTTAGGTCCATAGAATTACTTAATAAAAACACTAATAGGACAAATAGCTTGCCTTGCCCTAAGCCCGATATTAGTTGTCCACACTAACCTGTCCATAGAATTACTTAGCTTCACATTTGAGCTTATGACAAGAAGTTTAATGTCATCATCAACATTTAGGTTATCAAAGAACTAGGTCCCATCCATGTTAAGGACCTCATTTAAAATGAAATTTGTGACCTCGACATTGCTAGTATCATGGATAAGTAAACCATGAACTGAGCAATTGTGAAACCACAAAGTATGGTTTTTAAAACCGAACCGGTCAGGGGTCTGGTTATCGGGTCGAACAGTCAGCCCATTTACAAAAAAAATAAAAAAACAGTCAAAACTGTTTGAACGGTTAACTATCCGGTTCAATGATTTGCTGACCACAATCAACATTTTTTTGAGAAAATCTGGTTTTGGGGGGAAACAGAACCAGTCACCGGTTTCCGGTTTTTCCAATCCGACCGTCCGGTCCGGTCCGGTTTTAAAAACCATGCCACAAAGAGATTTTGCCACATCCCACCAGCCATCTACTGTAGTTAATAGTTAGATGCTTCACCTTAAAAATCTCCTTCCAAAATCTTGAGCTAGCTGTGCTCAAAGAAGAGAGCTAGAAAAAATGAACCTAGGTATCTCGACGTGAAAAATGAGCCGAAAGAGAGTCAATTTTTTATTAATTTGAAGCATGATTTGATTCTAAAAGCTTTCATCACATCAAATAAAGAGCGAATGTCCCAACAATTCTTGTCACCAATGAATCTTAAAGCTCCTTGTTCTAAGGAAATGGTTGAAGATAAAATTAACTTAAACCTTGCAGTCAAAATTTTGTAACAGAAGCTACAAAGACTTATAGGCTTGTAATCAGAAAAATGTTGTGGGCTTTCTACCTTAGGGATTAAGACAATAAAGGTAGAGGTGTAGTACCTGGGAAGAGATTAAATCGTGATGAATCTCTCTTTAATTGCTGAGCAAACATCAAAGCCAACAATGTCCCAACAGTTCATGAAGGAAAAACCATCAAAACCATCACTGCCTAGAGCTGAATCACCACTCATGCTAAATACCATGCCCTTAATTTCATCCAAACTCGGAGGTTGTAACAAGCTAAAAGCTTGGTTATCATCTTCAAACCAACTGAGGGATACACTGCAATAAGTAGTCTTGATCCACAATTGTCTCTTTAGATTATAGGCCCTTAAAGAATTGTTCGGCTTGGGCTTTTGTAAATTCACATCTTCTATCACAACACCATTAATTTGCATTTTTCTAATGACAATAAAATAAAGTGTCTCGTTGTCTTTACAGAGGAATGAAAAATTTTTGAATTTTTGTCACCCTCCCTAAGCCATTTTCCCTGGATTGATTTTTGGAAAAAGAAGATCTCCTCTTGCAAAAGGGTTTGATTGAGTGTTAGTAGCATTAATTAAATCTTGTTGATTGGAAAAATTGTCTTCAAAAGCAACGATGTTAGAGTTGAGACCAAATCAGCCCCCCACAATGTCCCACAGCACATCTTCCAATGATAATCCCAAAAATGATGATGTCATCATCGGGAGATGTTCCCAATACATGGCGGGGATGTTGTTGGGGGCTGATTTGAACTCCTTAGAGTTACAACTCTTAAGCCTTTGTTTCAAAATCCTTAGAAGATAACACAAATAACGAGTTTCCATCAATATGATTTGCCTAAACCTCTTTGACTGTATTTTGGAACTCAGGATGACTAACCCACATATGTTGGAATTTGAAAGGCTTGGGTCCATTTTTATTAACATTGTCAAAAGAAATTAAGAAGAATGGGTGCATGATCAGAAGTAGATCGATTTAGTATATGTTTGGCATCGGTGTTGCATATGCAGCACTAGAAAACAATGCCTTTCCTTTTGTTTGGAATTGTTGCTGCCAGGTAGGACGTTTCTTGGAGCAACAATAACTTTTTCTGTTTGGTACCAATGCTCTAGGAAATGGTTTTTGCACTTCTACCCATTATCCAGTGCCACATCACTGTCCTGTTGGCAGCAATGAGTTGTAGCTCCAGGAAACACCAAATTTGGTGTTGCTCCAAGCCATGCCTTCCCGATTTCTAAGGCGTGGCTTAGAGCACCGTTTTCTATGGAAAAAACGGTTTCAAACAGATGGTTGTTTCTTGGAGCACCATTTTTCCTACGTAACGTTGATGTGGTGTCATTTTCTAGAGCAATAGCAATGGTTCCAAATAGACACTTAGGTGTTCCACCAAGGGATTTTCAAACTAATTAAGCCAAAGAATATTCACCATAATACGATCTAACCTAGCCCAAGAAAGAGCCATTAGACCAAGTAAAACTTTACCATTGAAAGCCAAGGTCAATGAGGCCAAGGGCCATTAGACCAACCCAAAAATAAAATAAGTCATCAAATTATGCATAAAATCTAGACATCCGTATTTATAATGGAAGAGGAGTGTGTGGAGGCCAAGGGTCTCTCACCACAGGCCCCTCAAAGGGAGTCTCCCCTTCTCTCCTTCACACATGTGAACTATTAAAAATAAGAATTTACCAAAAAAAAAAACAAAAATTTTAAATTAACTATCTTAATCTCCATCATAAGGTCTCATAAATCTCAATGTACAAATATGTTTCCTCATAAAAAACCCTCTTATTTCTTAATTTTCTATATTAGAATCTATTATTACTCTTCTATAATAAAATCATTCTTAATTCTCTCCCCCTCCATTCTCTCTCTCTTCAATAGTCGATGTTTGTAACATCCACCCTATTAAATCCCTTATTTCCTATTAAACTATCAAACATTTGCATGGGGTTAAATAGAAATTTGGTTAGGTTTGGGTTGGTAAATTTAGGTTTTGACATTAGTCTGGTTCTACATCAAGGCCCATGTTCGAAGTTGGTCTAGGATTGGCCTTTAACNACCCACCCAACCCATCTAATTTATACCTGTCTTTTTTTAGAAAGGGTCAAAAGAGTTCTAAAGATATTTACTACTGAATAAGGAATTTAATGGGAATTAAGAATGATTTTATTAGAGGAGAGTAATGACAGATTTTAATATAGAAAACTAAGACATAAGAGGGCTTTTATTAAAAGACATGTTTGTGCATTATGATTTATTAAACTTTTTGGTACGAAATCAAGATAGTTGATGTAAAGTTTTAATTTTATTTTGGTAAATTCTTTATTTTTAATAGTTCACATGCATGAAGGAGAGAAGGGGAGACTTCATGTGAGGCCTATGGTGAAAGAACCTTGCCTTCTACACACTCTTTCTATTATGTACTAGAGAATTGCCACCCCATACTAAGTACATGGTCGACATTCTGATCAATTTTGTTGGACACCAATTATCTATATTGTAAATTTAGGTTGATATTTTATTTGACATTTTTTTGCATGGTTTTCAAAATCGGATCGGACTGGATGGTCGGACCGGAAAATCGGGAATCAATCAGGTGATCGGTTTCGGTTTTCCCCAAAACCGAGATTTCTTCAAAAACCGTTGATTTTGGTCAGCAAACCGCTGACCCGAGTGGTTAACCTTTCAAATGGTTTTGACCATTTTTTGTTTTTTAATTTTTTTTATTTTTTTTTTGTCAAAATGGGCCAACCGTTCAACCTAGTAACTGGACCCCTGACTGATTCAATCTCCAGGTCAGTTTTAAAAACCATGTTTTTTTGATACATAGACTTGTTATTTAATTAAAGAGATTAAATCAAATTTTATTTGAAAACAATAACCCATATCTTATGGATTTTACATCATTTGAAATGAATTTTTTAGTGGAGTTAACTACCACTACCACTGACCTTTTGTTGTGTACCCCATGAAAAAACAACTGTGGTCACTGACTTTTTTAAGAGTAAAAAATAACCATTTTTTGATACTCTTATTAAAAAAATATAATACCACTTGTCTATAGATAAATTCCTATTCAATCTCAAATATCAATGAATCAAATTTGGGTCTACCTATCATCCATTTTAAGCCCCACCCCAAACAATAAAGTCTTCTTCATGTTTCCATCAATACTCCATGCACATTTTGTTAAAAATGTAATGATGTAACCATATCAAATTAAATCATTCATGATGTGCCCGTATCATTTTTGTATCAAAAGTCAAACCATTTTAACCATAACATCATAACGGGATGTAAAATCAATGGGCAAAAAAAATAGAAATTATAAATTTTAATAATTAGTATTTATTATCATAATTAATAATTATTATACCATCCTACATACTCTACCATAAATTAATCATTCAACTTATGGTGGACCACTCGTTTTGTATACCTTATTAAACACTAAAAGCCTTTTTTATTGAAATTTACGCCAATACAGTATATTAGTGAGGGGTAGGACCATAAGCATATATTGGTTATTATGGTTAATATACAAGATTGTCTGACTTTGACATTAGCAGATTATTTTTCATAATACTCTCTACATTAAGAATTGATATGAAATTGTCAATAAAATAATAATTTGGATAAAACTTTTCTAATTTACTAAAACTGTGTTCAATTTATAAGCGCCCAGGATTACCATATATTAATAAATTTCATTTCACGAGCACCCAAGACCATTGTTGTCATTGCAGCAGTTGGAGTTTATAGCATTAATTAGGAAAACAAAAAGAGCTATGTTTGGACAACATTGCTTTAATAGATATTGATTTGGGATTAAGTAAAAGCAATAACTATTGGAGAGAGAGAGAGAGCTCTTATTGGAAAGAGTAATTAATATAAGAGTTTTTTTTTTATTCGGACATCTTTTATATGTTTGGTCATTTAATTTAAAAATAACTAACCACATGTGAGAAATGAGAGGAGGCTGTTTGTGTGAGCTTTGTGGCAAGAGGACCAACCCTACTAAAACATGGGTAGGGTTAAGGGCCAACCCTAGACCAATCTTGAACATGGCATTGGTTTCGAACCAAACTGATGTTAAAACCTAAATTTATCCACCCAAATCTAACTAAAATTCTATTGAGCCAATGCATGTGCATGTACTTACTTGCTATAAATTGTTAAAACCTCCCTTGAAGTTTTTGGTTGTTGCTGAAACCTTTTCTAAAGTTTTGTAATTGCAATCACCTCTCCCAAACTTTCTGACATAATTGCAAGTAGACCCCTTTTATTAGAATCCTCTAACAAGAGGCATAAAAATGTTCAAAATACCCACACAATTACTATTGAGGTTGGTTTGTATAGAACAAATAATACAACTTTTATAAACAACAAAAAATAGAGAATTTAAAGTTGTAGCATTACCTTTGAGCGATTGATACGAAGGCCAAATTTGAAAAATAAATCAATTTTAGAAGAGATTGTAAGGGTTTGGGTTATGAAGAGAAAATTTGGAAAACAAATATTTTGATCAAAAGTAATTGCATGGGTATTTTGGACATTTTCATGTCTCTTGTTAGAGGATTCCAACAAATAAGAATGGCAACAGGTCAAGTTCGGAGAGGGTTTGGTAAATTCTAAACCTTATACCTCCCTAAACCTCCAAACTTGTACCTGCCCCAAAACTCGTAGTGGGTTGGATTTTGATAATCAAACCCTCCCCGCACATAAAAACACAAAACCCTCCCTAACACTACCCTCCGCACATTCATGGGTAGGGCAAATTGGGTTTAGAATCCGCATCTAATTTTCTATTATTTCTTGTTATATGAAAGCAATAAAGAAGTAAAATAACACAAAAAAATAACAAAATTTTTAATTATTTGATTAAAATGTATAAAAAATACATAAACTATCAATTATCTTTTACATAAAATTCAAAATATTATTAAATTCAACACCTAATATATAAAATTTATATGCTTTCAAACAATATCTAGGTCACAAAGGGTTAGATTTAGCCTAATATCATACCTATCTATACCCTATGGGTTATAAAATCCCAAAACCCATCCTTCAAGCAAAAAAACCTGTCCCATTGGAAATCTGAATTGCCAACCAGATAGAGTAAAAATTGTCATCCCTACTATAAAAAGGGCCTACTTGCAACTGAATCAAACATCAGGGGAGGTTTCAGCAACAGTCAAACTTTAGGGAGATTTTAGCAGTTTATCCTATTAATTTAATAAGGACTGTCCCGTCCAAAATCCAAATAATATAAGAAACAAACAACAAAATAGAGGTAGGGGCGGAAAAAGGCATCTAACATTTGGAAAAACATATTTCCGTTGCCGGGAATCGAACCCGGGTCTCCTGGGTGAAAGCCAGATATCCTAACCGCTGGACGACAACGGAATTGTGATTTGAATTTACCCCCAAATATATATAAGTTTAACTTTTCTCCTAAATCCTAAGTCCCCACATCAGTTTCTCACAGTTTTTTGACGTTTCTAGGATTTAGAGGAAGGGTATGAAGATGAAGTTTCAGAATTACCAATCAGATCCTCCATGAATTTTAATGAATAGCAGTTTTCTTTGAAAAGAATGAATACTAGTTGATTGGTTATCACTCATCAGTTTGGAAGGTGGACTTGCATTAGGGTAGAGTTATATTGGGGAGCACATACTAAGAGATAGATTGTTGGTGAATTGTGTGGGTTGGGGGAGACATTCGCATTTTCTCCTTTCAGCAGTATATCATTACTTAATCCTCTTTTATTTTTTATTTTTTGGTAAACGTTGACCGTCTTACGAAGTTACGATGTGTTTTGTTTTGCCTTCTTTTTAGCTCACAGTCTAGCACTAAATAAACATCATAAACACAGTGCTGTTTTTTTCAGGTGGTTATTTGCATGGAAGTATGGAATTAGCTTCCTTTACCCTTGGTGTTGACGTAAAGGATGCGCTGGTCTCGCATTTTACAGGTATCAGAAAAAGTTTTAGAATTGAATGTGCTCTAAACTTAGTGTTTAACATTTTTGTTGGAATAGTATTCTAGTTTGTTTCTGTTGTTCCTTTGGGGGCGCTTCTTGAATCCCTCCCTATGTTGGGTTGTGCTATAATTTGCTTATGGTGCATCTGGGGTCTGAGGACAGAGAAGCCATTTATCTTCAATCAATGAACTTCATCTTGATTTTAGGTTTCAAGAAGTGTACATGGCATTCAAGAATTCGTTCTAGAAATGGTAAAAGGAGAAAATACGAAGTAACATGGGTTAATTCAACTCTAAAGTTCCAATTACAATCACTACTTTTAAGTGTTTGGATCTTCCTTTACAGACTCTAATTTAGACCAACAAACTGACCCAAAACAATTTTTAACTGCTTCAAAATTAAGACAAAACCTATAGGTAACCCATGGCTATAGCATGTTTGGGGAAGAAACAGGTGAGTTTAGGATGTAAAAAAAGTGAAATCTTGAAGGTGTTTGGCTAAGGGAGAAAACTAGTTTCTGGTGCATCCTTTAGGCTGTGTTTGGATTGAGGAAAACAGTGGAGAAAGGAAGGGAAAGGTAGGGAAAAATATAGGCTTCCTACCTTTCCCTACTTTTTCCCTCAAACCAAACACAGCCTTGGCAGTTCAAGAGAAAATTGAAGTAGCTCCATATTCTATGAAGTATGACAAGGAGAAGCAGAAGGTGCTTATGGTCATAACACACAAGACAAAAAGACAACTTCAGATCAAATTCTTATTCATTCAGCATCTTGAGTGAAGCCTTATGATATATTTATAAAGCTCTAAGCAGAAGGTGCTTACGGTCATAAAGCAAGTCAGTATCACTAACTTAATCTAAAGAAACCAGAAATTACTAAAATTTGTAAATCATTGACATGATATACTATAAATAGTTAAATACTAATCATAGGAATTAGCCACTTTCATTTTATTAATAATAGCAAGTTTCTAGAAAATTGAAACTTAAACCCACAACCACCTCTAATTTATTTATTTATTTTTTCAATTGAAGCTCCTACATTATAGGGGGAACAGTTGAAACTATATACAGGACATTATCATGATGTATTCTGGAACTAATGCAGGATTAACTCAATTCAGGCAGAGCTTCTATATATTCTTCAAGGGTTGTATTGTTATCTCTTTGAGATAAATATTCCATAAGATTGGAGGTAGAAGGTGATTCACAGGTGGTGATTAGGTGGATGAATTGAGAGGTAGAAGTTCCATAGGTGTTCCAACATGCATTCAGGAGTTTCTTGCCAGCAGTCTGAACACCTTGTTCAGATGGATTAGAAGATCTGCTGATACACTGGAAGATGAGCTTGCTAGAGAAATGATAAATTGGGTGGAACTGTATTCCTGGCATTCTCAGTTAGGCAATGAGTGAAGTTCCTGAACCAGGTGTCTCTCACTGTACTTATTGGTAGTCCATATTATATCCCTGTTGTACACCTTTGAATCAAACTAAGTTAAATTTTGATGCTTTCACCACAGGAGATCTGTATAGTTGATGTATTCAGGTCCTATTGTACAGGGGATTCATTTCAAGCAGAAATGTAGTCCATTCTCCAAGGCCCTATTAGTCAGGGGGATTCAACTTGAGCAGAATGATCACCCCTACATCTGCTGGTTGAGAGGTGGAGACTGGAGATGCAGGTCCTTGGTTTCTTCAGACCAAATCAGGGAGGTTAGAGCTTTAGTCTCGATTTTGGAGGCTACTATTTTCTGGGTCTCTGGTTCAGCAAGTAAGTTCACTGGCATTTCTAGCTAAAATGAGGCAATACTTAACAATGTTTTAAAAAATGGAGGTGTGACACGGAGCGTTCCACTACCTGGAGGCATGGGCACAGTTCAGAACGTAAGAGGTACAAGCCTCCCGAGTACAAGGAATTTATTTGGTGTAAGCCTCCCAGGCGTTCCACTACCTGGGTTTTCTTTTGCCCAGATTTACACCTTTATAATGCAAATATCTCAATATTGATTGCTTTTCCTCTGCTCCATTGGCAGAGTTTATTTGGTGAAAGTGAGGTACCTAATCTTCATTGTTCATCCTCTTTTTATGCAATAGAAATTGAACCTCTGATTCTTATATTAAGTTTTGAAAGTGGTTAACAAAAATATCTAGTAACATAAATATTCAATGATTGTAACCCTTATCATTGTCATTTACTATTACACTTTTTCATCTCCTTAACAGCTGATACCTGTATCATAAGAATCTACCATGGTCATGTTCTCGTACAATTAGAAGTGAGAGATATTTAAACAGGGCAAAAAACAAGAAAATATTTTCTGTGAACATTTGAGAACAGTTTCTCTAGGTCCGTTAAAAATTTATGATGTCACTCTACTTAACATTTTATTTATAATAATCTGCTAGATAATTTGTTGTAGTTGTTATTTTGTGCTATTCAGACATGTACAACCAAAGGGTATTAGGCATTATGAACTATATTCATGAGTGTGCTACATCATTAGGAACTGTTTCAAATGTTGCATTATTAGTTTATGTTCTTTGTAAGAAATAATGTGATTTTCAGGAGGATGAAAATGACAAGCTTATATTCAGTGATAAAAATAACATCAAAAGGCAATATATATATATATTTTTTTTTGAGATGACAGAGGTGGGAGTAATTATAAGGCTTGATCACAATAAGGGTTGCACATTGGATGTCTAAGATGGAGTCCAGTCTTCATATTCATGCATGTGGATGCAATTATAAGAGGCTGGCAAAGAGTGAGCTAGTAGCTAACTTTTCAGGGCCAGTATCGGGGGCAGAGCTATAAGGGTGGAGATTCTAGTTCCTTTGTGGGGCTTCATAGTGAAATACTACTTGTGCCAAACAGACTGAAAGGTGAAGGAGACTCTTATAGTATGATTTAATAGATGCAGAGCCATTAGGATAGCTTATTGTCACTTAGGCACTAGTAAACTAGCAACATGATGGATTGTTCAGATGCATACAAACTACAGAGGTCAGCCAACATCCTTGAAGATAGTATATCTAGAGGAGTAAAGAGTGAAATTCTTTACAATCCTGTTTTATTGGATTGAATGCTGAAAGTGGAATTCTCAATACATGGAAAAGAAATTTGGTGACTTTCATTTCTACACCATTGGAGTAACTGGGCAATCTTGACACACAGAGAGCTTCACTTTTAGTCTCTGGGTGCCTGTTGGTTTCTATGTTACCCAGATATGGCAAGGATATTGATGGACACATTGTCGATCTGAAATTAACAGTTAAACTTGAAGTATCCTGTATCTGACACGATATGGCACACTTGTACAGGTATCTAGATATCATAGGTTGATTATTTATTGTTTTCCATGACTAGTTTATTAAGGTCAAGAAAGTCATAAGATTTAATGAAAATGTTATTGACTACATTGGCTATATCTAGGTGTGGAATGTGAATGATATCGTTAATGATGTATAATGAATCCACCATATATTAATGATACTTGTTGGTTTCATTACTTGCTTGGCCGAGTCTTTCTACCATTAATCCACAGGAGGGGTTTAAAGTAGATCAATACAACCCTATTTTTGGGGTAAACCTCTTTAGTTCTTGATTCTAGACTCTGGCATCGGCCTGGACATGCACTTCTCTGACGATTCCATTGTACAAAGACATTCAATTCTAGACACAAAGAGCTTCACTTTTAGTCTCAGACCTGCAAGCTTGATTCAACATCTAAAAGCCGTATCTATAAATTTTACAAAGAAGGGCTTCACCCCTCAATGATATGGCAGGGGTTCTTCTCATCAAGAGTTAGAAGCATCCTCATGGCATTACAAATGCAGCTCAATGCATACTGAACCTTTATATTTGCTGTTGATAGGATCTGCTGGGTGTAGCCATGGCTGGACATGGAGGTTTAGTGAGCCTCCAGTGGACATTCATTTCATGAAGAAGAAACAAGGGAACAACAGAACTGTTAAAGTGTATTTTGGACCATAAAGAGACAAACTGGATTTTCGAAATAATGTCAGGTGCATGTAATGTCACATGCAAATGGATCATAATGGATGGCTAATGCACAGGCGTAATATTTGTCCAATGACATCACCTAACAGGGGAGGTCTGAGTCATTTCACAAGAGAGAGAGAGAGAGAGAGAGAGAGAGAGAGAGAGGAGATTTTGGTATTTGTCAGAAACCTCAAAGGAGGTTTTAGTATTTTTCTCAATTTTTAAGGATTATTCAAGGTCTAAAGAAGCAATCATAGAAAGCATTTCAGTTAAAGTGGCACATTGGATCAAAACTTTTAAGGCATTTAAACCATTCTCTTTGGATGATTTCTCCAAAACTGGTAATTAATGGAATCTTCCAAGGCTAGATCCATGGTCTCTTGGCAGTGGTGTCCGCCCAGCCCTAACCTTGTACACTAAATTTTGATGGATGGAGCTTGGGAAATTGAGGACAATCAGGTATAGGGTAGAGACGGCCAGTGATTTTTTTTAGCCATTTACTCCAGTCCTATAGGCCGTGGGAACTCAAGAGCTGAGTTATTTGTGGAACTTCAAGGAATGTGGTTGGCAACATCACTAGCATTAGAGTATTGATGGTGGAAGGTGATTTAAGGGTGGTGTTGTGCTGGTTAAAAGGAAAGAGAAGTATAGGATTGTGGCATTATTGGAACAACATGAAGGAGACAAGGTCAATGGCAAGGGAAATAGCATTTAAGTTCTATTGGACTCGGATCAGAAAACACCTTGGTGGATGCATTTATCTAAACAGTGTGTAAATAGGCTGCAACTATTATGGGGATTGTTGAGGCGTGAAAATGGGATGCATGGCATAATTGTGTATAAACAATTTTTTTTCTTCTCTATGTATTAAAAGTTAACAGTTACCAATGAAAAGAAGAATCACAAAAAATGTTAAGAGAAATAAGGAAGATGGATCTATGTGGCTTAGAGATTTTCTCAATTTATTCTTTAATAATAAAAAGATCAGGAATCAGTTTAAATTTTGATATTTATTTCGACAAAGGAGTTCCATGTATGATATTATCTAAGTGCTTACATATATTTATCTTAGTTTGCTTTTGGAACAACATGAAGATGTTTATATTTATTGTTCTACATTCTAAAATGCTGATTGTTGATGTACATGGTAAATAGTTCCAGTACATTTATTATGCCATTCTCTAACACTGTATTCTGTTGTTACCAGATTATACTGCAGTTTATAGAAGTAATTAGAAATGACCATTCAGGTATATCCTGTATGAGGGTAGTGCCTTGTCTCATCTCAAGAAGATGGGTATTTAATGGCTTCTAGGTTCATATTCATATTTGGTGATCGTTTGTGTTATCCTTCAATTCACTATTAATTTTTGTTGAATCTGATGTACTACGTTTGTGAAGAAAGGAGAAAAATGATATAAATCCTGTGAGAAGATAACCACATGAATTTGTATGGTTCATAGAAGACTGTGTAAAAACTGTTTCACTGTTCTTAAAAACCACATTATTGCTGAATTTCAATTTCGTATTTATAACTCCAACATATGGAGATACCCACTTTATGCTATGCTTCTGTTAACATAAGAGCTTTTTTCAGTGGTGACAGCATGCTAGAGAATAGAAAGAACCATTTTGCATTGATGTCAATTTTATTAATGAAATCCTTTTTGAACCAAATTCAAAGTTGTCTTATTCAACCATGCAAGCTGTTATCATATACTGTAAATCTGTTTGTATGTATGTCCTTTCAGAGAAGAAAATAGTACATTAAGCTCCTCTGTGAGCATTTAGTGCACAATTATTACATGACCTACGTTGACCAGATTGTTTGTGGAAGTGGAACCTGAAGATGGTGAGGACTGAGGAGATAGGGTTGGTTGCAATGGGCAGAAAATTTGTTGCAAAATCAGTGTAAGGATTGAAGCTCAGAGGTCCAGGAGCTTGTCCTTGCCTCCCTGGTCCTGTCACAAGTCAGTTTAGAGATGAAACTGTTACCTCTACAGCCACAGGGTGTTTATTGAGCAAACTGCAACCAGGACTCCAGACCCGTGAGACAAAAGCATGCTTTGCTTTGCTTGAATTAACTGATTTTAGTTGTGTCATGTACTTACAAGTGCAATCACTCGGCAGCTTGTTGGCTAAAGCAGGATACTGTTTGGCCAGGCCCTTGTGTACGTGCCAACCCCCAAATGTCGACTTGTATCCCTTTACTGCCACATTCTTTTGACATCTATGGGAAGGGGTTTGAACGTTTTGTTCTTCTTTTCTTTTTGGTACTACATATTAGACATTAAAGGGGGATGAAGGGGTGGGTACGAGGCAGGGTGCACGTGAGGCCTACCTTTAATTAAAAATAATAACATGATCACCTAAACTGAGTGGAAAGTGTTAAGGGCATAGGCCCATGGTTGTTTATTCCAAATGTACTCTTACCAACAGTTTTTCTTAAAGAAAACAAATTGACCAAATAGAGCAAAATAGAGTGGTTGCTCGTGTCTTAGAAAGGGCAAAAATGGTGTTTACATTTTTATTTTCTTTTGGTTAAATTTATTTGAATGGATGGTAGGGTCAAAACAGTTATTTTCTACTTTTATTTAATGGAATGTCAATTAAGTAAATTGATTGCAAACTATAGGGATGTTTTAGCAAAACATGAGCTATAGAGTAGATTTAGTAAATCCATGAAACTATAGGGAGTATTAGTAAATGACCATTATTAGGATACATGTAAGGCCCAAGTGATCATCTCAACCAATTTTTCGAACTGCCAATGACCTAGATTGTCGTACCATTTGGCCCAACAAACCGTTCAAGCAATTGATTCTATTTTATCCCAAACCTGATCTTTGGCCAAAAACCATCGAATTGGTCAGTGATCCACTGATTCTGGGTCAATTTTTAAGACCTTGATCTCAACTACTGGATCATTGGCCTTGGGCCCTCGGCAAGGGGTTGGAATTTGGAAACTTGAAAGTTATATTTATCTTATTGGTGAGAAGCTACATTTCTTTGGGAAACAACAATGCATAGATGATGTGTGAGTATGTTTTGTTTTATTAACGTGTTGTTTATAGAAGTCACAAAATGATGTAAAGTTGTAAAGTCGTTATATTGTTTTCCATGGAATTGAATTCACCATCTTTTATCTAAATGATAGAAAACTTGACCTCATTAAAACCTCGGTTGCTCCTGTATATTAGCAAATGAAATATCTCTAATTTCCCATCAATGGATTAGAAACTCCAAACCTCTTAATGACACAACAATATACGTGATATGTCTATTACCAATCATCAGAATTTTAGATATAATTGTGGGAAACATTTCAAACCAGATTTCCTGCCCACTACTCTCTACCCGCATTCTACCGACTGAATTGCAGCCGCACATCGCTATCTTGTATTGTGAGATGTGTATACAGTGTACTGTGGGTAGGGTAAGCTAGAGAAAGTGATTAAGAAATCTGGTTTCGAAACATTTTCCTTAACATGCAAGATGATGCAACTCAATTGCCACCCCAAGATTAAAAGAGGGGCCCAAACTGATTCAAGACGCTTATTAATTTCATCTTTTTTTTTCCAGCTTGTCTATGCCAAGCATCAAATACACGAGTTCAAATCAGCCCCCACAACGTTCCATGGCACATCCCCACCGTGTATTGGGAACATCTCCAGATGATAATATCAAGAATGATGATGTCATCATCGGGAGATGTTCCTAATACACGGCAGGGATGTGCTGTGAGGGGTTGATTCACTCTCCAAATACACAATTCTCTCAGGGAGGCATTCTGTACCATGGATGTTCTATGGATTGCTTAATTTGATTTTAAAACATGCTATACTCATTGAGGAATTCTTTTATTCTGTATTTGGTCTGAAAGAAAAGCTAGGGAAAGGAAGGGAAAAGGTGAAGCATAGTGTGGATTCAACTACACCACTGTATATTGGATGACAAATAATTTATTTATAACTTTGTTGATAGTACATCCATGGAAAAATTTAGGATACCAGAAAGACATGATACTAGGAAGGCTTTCACTAATCAAAATTCGTTGTGAATTCTGATTAAAACCAAGTGTGTTTTGTTCCGCGAGTGTTTTGTGATAGGCATTTATCAAAACGCTGCCATGTCAACGCCAAATTAACATTTTCTCATCATATTCATCCGTACATATTGATATTAGCAAAAGTAGGTTCGCCCGATACACCCATACCGACATATTAGCAAAACCGGTTCCCTTGAACCAGTTGTGAAAAAAAAATTAAAAAAAGTGTCAAAAGATGTATCGATTCACCCGATACACCCATACCGACATATTAGGCATATCGATATTTTAAACCTTGCACTCCACTCAACTCTCCCTTGATCACCAAAATATCATGAGATATAGTGGATGAAAATGGCCCCTTAAAACACCATCCCTTCTGCACTTGTAGAGATTTAGAAATGTTTGGTGAAGTTTTGGGTTAAACCCTAGAAACACAGGTATGAGAAGCTTTTAGATCAAGGATCAATCAATTGAAGGGATTTACCAAGGTGGGTACAAGTGCATCTTACGTCATTCCCCATATCAATAAGGGGGGTGGGAGGGGGAAACTGGATGGGCACCAAACAGAGAGCTGTCTAGTATGTGAATTATGAGACACATTACACAAGGAAAATTTGAAAACCTGGCACTCTTATATGACACTGACAATTGATGGATCATTTTCTAGTTTTTAAGAAAACCTCTATGATCACTCAAAAGATTAAAAAACTGAAAGGAAATTCAAATAAAAAATAACAATTGATCAGAAAAGAGAGATTTTTAATAGGCATACAATAACCACTGAAGACTTCCCACAATCGAAAAAAAGGGTTGGTCTCAGTCTCACATGTTTGGATTTCCAATTTTTCATTAGCCAGCCCTTAAAATATTTCTGAAAATCACAAGGAACAGAAAAACAAAAACGTAAAAAACAGTCCAGAAAGCAAACAAAGACCAATGAATGGCCTTGAGAGAGAGTAACCAGCTTTCAATCTTTTCAGACACGTACACTTTTAATCGTGTCTCCTTCACCTTTCCACTTTCCCATTGAAATATTCCATCTCTCTCTTTCCTTTCGAATGAACGACAAAGACAAACAAACTCATATAACCCAGTCCCTCTCCTTAATCCAACAGGGTCTCCCAAGTCGAGTACTGTTTTTATCATGGTTTTCAAAACTGGATCGGACCAGAAAAATCAGGAACTGATTAGGTGACCAGTTTCGTTTTTCCCAAAAACCAGATTTTCTCCCAAAACTGTTGATTTTGATCAATAAACCACTGAATCAAACAATTAATCATTCAAACGATTTTGACCATTTTTTATTTTTTTAAATATTTTGTTTTTTCTTATCATCTGAGCATTCAGTTCGAGCGATCAGACCGTTCGACTCAAAAACTGGACCCCTGACTGATTCAGTCTTCAGATCAGTTTTAAAAACCATGGTTTTTATTGAATCAATATTAATAGGCAGAGAGAGGCTACATAAATAAAATATTGGTAGCGTTTGACAAGTCTTTATGTGTGGCTTTTTGGTTTCTATAAATTTAGAAGACTTGATGCCATGGTTTAGAGTGCTAAAGTTAAAAATAAATGCTTAAAAACAAGTGTTTATTCAAATAATCACTTCACTTATTTGCATTTGACACCCAATTTTTTCAAGTATTTATTTAAAAATAAATAAATACTTATTTCATATTAAGCGCAATAAGCATTTGTAACGATTGTCCTTCATTTTCTTTCAAATTTTCGAAACTCTTATGAAAATATTTTTATGAAAGAATTCCTATAAAAACACTTTTATGAAAGTACTTTTATAGAAACGCTTCTATAAAAATATTTTTACAAAAATATTTTTATAGAAATCACTTTAATAAAACCACATTATAAAAATACTTTTATAAAAGCACATTTTACAAAAATGCTTTTATAGAATTCAACCAGATAATTTTATAAGCGTATTTTAAAATTCATTTCGGATAATTTTGATAGAAAAAAAGAAATTGAATAAGCGATTATTATATAAACACTTAAACTGTAAAATTAAGCTTAAAAAATAAGGGCTTATTTCCCAAATACCAATAATTGCTTAATTACTTAATGATCTTTTCTAATAATCTGGAACTTGGGTATACAGTCTACTCTTCCGTTTGGGTATATAATTTCCTTGGACTCTGCATACGTGGACCGACCGACATGAATTCTACATAGATTTTTTATGGTTTCAAAAAAGGGAAGGTACCCAAGAGACAATAAAGCAAAGTTCAACCCCCTCCGGGCCTCCCTCACAAGGTAAACAGTAGAAGAATTCCTACTACAGCCCACTACTCTCTCTCTCTCTCTTCACAAACAGAAAAGCTAATGCACGTACAAGCAGAAGCCTGTTCCTGAGGTTCACATCCTTGTTAAAGCTAGAGACCACATGTCAGATTCTTGTGCATCGTTATTTGTCTCTCCCACTGTGGGATTGGGCGGCACCAAACCAGTAATCTAATCAAGGAGCCAAGTTGCCGATGATTCAGCCGTGGACTCCCAAGTCATATTCAACAGAAACTAAAGTCTAGAACTGATGAAACACAGCAAGATGACCCACGAAAAAGAAGAAAACATCAATAACTTATAGCTGTTAATAATGGAAATGGAGAACGTAGGGAATGAGAGCAAAAAAGAAGAAACCAAGCATAAATTGTAGACTGTTTACAATTTCAACACCTCTCATTCTCTCTCTCTCTCTCCTCACCGCCACCATCTCCAATGCCAAGAAGAAATGCTTAAGATAGACAAAAGACAAGAAATGTAAAGCAAAAAAAATGGCCCACCAATGTTCCTGCCTGCTTGGGATTCAAATTTCAAAGCATCTTCCTTTTTTTTTTCTTTCCTTCATTGTGTTCTTTTCTAACAACCCTGACATTGATATTTCCCTCATAGAACAACTCTCTCTCTCTCTCTCTCTCTCTCCCCTGGATCTGATCCTGTACAAGAAATGAAAAAGAGTTGGAAAAAGGAGAGCCCTGATAAAAGGCTTTTCTCAAAATGGAGCCGTTGACGTTCTATACAGCGTGTGCTTTTTCGGAAGTTGAGCAGCTGCCGCTAAGTATAACTGTAAATGAACAAAGACCAATGGTCGATCAGATAAGAAGATAGAAAATCTGAGGAAAAAAGAAAGAAAGAAAAGCTCCTGATACAAGGTGATAGATTACCTCTTGTTGCTGTATTCTTAGCTTGGCATTCTCTTCCTTCAAATAAGCAACTTCCAGCTCCAACTCATTTGTATAAGCCTGTAATATTTTAGAGAAGAATCACTAAATAAGAAAATTAAATGAGAAACAAGTTTCTCTAGTTTCTCTTCTATTGAATTGTCTATACAGCTAGATTCTAAGGCTAAAGGAGGAGGGGGGTGGGTGGGGGAGAGAGAAAAAAGAGAGATGATTTCCTGTTTTCTGGCTCTAGACCGCGCAGCAGATTCTCGATTCTTGATCATGCGCTTATGCCGTCGGTCCCCGGAACTGTCATCAGATTCTGGAACCCTTTTCTTGCAAAAGGATGAAAACGCCGAGGATGGAGCAAAGGGATCGAAAGGAGTGTTCAAGGAAGAAAGGAAGAAGGGTGTAGCCGAATTGCCAGGCGTATATAATTGTGACTGTGACCTCAGAGGATCAGTGGTGTTTTCTAGGTAATGAAATTCTGGGCCTGAATTCAAGCTCAAGACGGTGGGCGGAGGTGGTGCTGGAGAACCAAAAACAGCGACATCTGAGGCGGTGGTGGGATCAACGGAGATAACGCTGCTGGTTGGTGGATCTTTGCTGAAGGGTCGAGCAAGGAAGTCCTGAAGGATCACACCGCGGAAGGCGGTGGCAGAGGAGGTGGTGGTGGTGCTCTTGGGAAGGAGTGGTTCTCTGGTGGCGTGGTGGTCACTGAGAGAAGTCGAAGCCAGGTTGATGTCTTTCCAGACTTGTTCCATGGTTTTTCTTCTTGGGGTTAGGAAGTGAGATTGGGGTGCAAAAGGAGAGGGAGAAGAAGACGAAGACGAGGATTTTGAGGATGAAGAAGAAACTCTTTTGCCGTTGAGATTGTTGGTTTCTTCCCCACCTGATGATGACCACATGGCGATGGTAGTGACTGGTGAGAGAGCTTCAGATTTCGGATGACAGATAAATACAATGAGAGAGACGGAGAGAGAAAGAAAATGAGTTGAGAGGTGTTTTATAGTATGGAGTCTCTGGACCATGAAGATTTGAGAGGAAGAGGTGATGATTTTCTTTTCTTTTTTTCTGTAAATTTTCAGTATTTTGGAGGGAAAATGGATTTTATTTTTTTTATTGGGACTTGGGAAGGGTGATGGACGACTGTTGTCCGATTGGTTTTGGGTTGATTTTGCCATGGACTCTCTCCATCGTCCATACTTTCGTAGCAGAAGGAATATAATGCTCGACCATACTGCAGTCCTGTCGTGCTGGACCGGTAAGGCAAGACCCGTACTTTTTTGGTGGGCTGTTCTTTTGGCGGGCCGTGCCGGCCTGCGGGTCAAGTCGGACCGTGATTTTCTCCCTTGAGCTTTGGGCCAGGCCAAACCAGACCACAGATCAAGTCAAGTTATAAGAGGTATATTATTTAAAAAAATTAAAAATAACAATAAAAGTTTTAAAGTAAATTAACAAAATAGACAAAAATTTATAAAAAATGTCTTAAAATTTTATTTTATATGAATTTTGATGTATATAATTGTTTATATATGTAACAATAAAATGAAATCGTAAAATAAAAATTAAAAATAAAATTTTATAGATTTTATATTATTATATAATAACCCCCCTACTTTTGGATCATCTTTTATATAAATTACTATATAATAATAATTCAATAATTTTATAAATTATAAAATTGGGTCGTGCTACGGGTCGGGCCGAGTCGATTTACACCTCTAAGAAGAACCATCCAACGCAAGAATATAGAGCCACATTACCAATATTATCACGTCTAGTTTAACAAGTTTATGGCATGGTTTTGTTTTCTACCATGAGAAAGAGCACCGGAGTGGAAGTGTTTCCACGAGCGTGAAGTTAAGGCCATGTTTGTTAACTGTTATGTGCCATATATTTCTAACTTTTGTCCATTCTAGATTAGAATGAGTAACGATGAATAATATTTAAGGGTCCATTTAGTTTCGTGGAATAGGTGCCTATAATCGGAATAGGAATGGCCCATTTTGATTCCAATTATTTGTTTAAAAGAAATATAATTCTCATTCCCATTCTTAGGGGAATAATTCCCCATATGAGGGCATGGCCACTCCACACCCTCCATAGGGATTTTGATTCTGATTTCAATTCCAATTTCAATTTCGATCCTATTTGTGAATCAAACGGGCCCTAAATTGTTTGGTTATAAAATTCTTACAATGGGTTTCGTTTTTTTCAAAATGAAAAATCAGCTATAGTATTGAGGTTGCCTATAGAATGAAGGTTAATCATGCCCCATGTTACTCATTTTCCTTCTTTAAAGAAACTCTATGCTGGCTAGGGGTGGATTTGAGCCAAGTCAAGCCGCTCGAGCTCGGTTCGCCTAGGAAGTATAAGGCTCGAGCTCAGTTTGAGCTAAAACCTTGAGCTCGAGCTCCGCTCAAGTCATAATCTCGTAAGCTAGGCTCGAGCTCGATTTAAGAAAAAATATTTTATAAAAATTAAAAATTATATATAAAAAATATTTTTTATTTGATATTTAAAAAAATAAGAATTATTATTATATATTATTTTCTATAATTATTATATATATATATATATTATATTATATATATATATATAGTCAAGTTGGCTTGCGAGCCTTACGAGCCGAGCTCTATTGCTCGGCTCGTTTATTAATCAAGCCAGTAATCTGGGCTCGAGCTTGAGCTCGATTGAAACCGAGTCGAACCAAGCTTTTCATGAGCTGAGCTTGAGTAGCTCGTGAAGAGCTTGGCTCGTGGCGACCCCTAATGCTGGCCATCATAAATTGTGGCCTAAGTCTACAAAACCACTATCATAGATGTTTATTGCCTCACTATTGTGGAAACTTATGCAATTATTCTTAGGGGTGCTGACAGCTGATTAGATGAGAATCAAAGGGAATTTGTGTCTTTTAAAATGTCACTTAACTGTAGATTAACAACTAGTTAATTGCAGGTATTAGATTGCCACGTTTTGAAGGTTTGGGTACTGAATTGTCACATTTTAAAGTTTAGGGACCAAAGTAACACTAGTCCAGAGTACAGGGTACTAATCGGGAATTTTCCCTATTACAAATTATATACCAAAGTTCGGTTTATTCGATTAACCATATTTTTAATTTGAAAAACAGAAATCAAAATTTCTGGTTCGGTTTTTCAGTTTTAACCTAATAATACTCACCCCTAATTATGTTGATGGATATTGACTGTTGACTGCTGGACATCCACTCGTAAAAACATTTATGTCGACGATTCTGATGACCTAGACTGAAAATGAACAACATAGGGTGTTTGTCAGTCTAAAAAAATTCATTTTTTAGGAAAAAAAACAAAAGAAGACAAAAAAAAGCATTTGATTCATAATAACACTATTTGAAAACGCTTAAAGAATGATTTTTCTTTGTTTTTTTTTTGCTTTTGTGTGTATAAATTATCGGTTGACAACAATAATTAACACTAACAAAATGCAACTTAGAAATCCAAATAAGCGATAGAGAAATAGTGCATGAGAACATGGTTCAAAGTATCAACGACACATATCAGCTTGTATCGGTCGATATGTATCATTCCGGGACCCCTCCGATATGCCCCTATCAGCGTATCGATATTTTGAACCTTACTTCTAAGTACGGTTTTGGAATTTGTCCATGGAAAAAATCATAATGTATTTTATTGTATGCCTAGTAAAATATTTTAAAGGATAAGAACGAAGATAAATGAATCTGAAATGTTAACTCGGATCAACCCGAGTTGCACACCCCAAGTTAGGGGCAAACCGAAAAAGATATGAATTGAGGTATTAAAAAATGATTTTTAAATGATCGTAATTGAGCAATAGATCTGTCAAGCTAGCATTAAATTGAACTGGTTGAACTGAATGGTAAAATGGATTCATGTAGCCAATCATGTAGTTGGGACGAGGCTTAAATGCAAGGTTTTAAAAATTGACCCGGAACCAGAACTGTTTTAGCCACCGGTTTCTGAGTTGATGGTTTGATCATCTGGTTTGAATGGAGGATCCATTTCAACAAAAAATAATAAAATAATAATAATTAAAATAAAAACAATTTGTTGAATGGGTCAATGATTTGACCATCGGGGTTAGCGAGTCGCTGACTAATTCAATGGTTTTTTACCAAGGATCTGGTTTGTTGTAAAATGGAACTAGTTGCCTAAACGGTTCCCAAGTTGAGTGGTCCAACCGTTTGGGTCAACAACAGTTTGAAAACATTGCTTAAATGATAATAACTATTAAAGTAAAATTAATTGTCTGGATTGCTCCTTAGAAAGCACTCCTCACACCAACGTCACAACACATTTCAGCCGCACATCAGAAACATCTTCCATACTTGTGTGTTATTATGTATGGGAGATGTTCCCAATACATAGTGGGATGTGTTGTGAGGTAGGTGTGAGATGCGCTCTACGAGTAGCAAATCTCGATTCAAAGTATAATTGAGTAGTAAAAATGTGTCTATTCTTTCTACATTCACATTTTAAGAACAAATGGCAATCTAGAATCTTTGATGTCTATATGTATTGCCTACCCCCAAGTATCAAAACAAGAGATCAAATGATGGTATTCTCAAAGATTTTTAAGTAGCTTTCCTAGAATTTTAATACAATTTCTCCATTGTCCGAAATATATGCAGCAAATCGGAATGAGAAAACCTAAATGGATTATCATTACTTTAAACCCAATATTGATACAATTTAAGCTTTATTTGGCATTTGTTACTTTAAGGACTTATCTCTTTTTTGCAATTAAAATGTCTTTCTGAAAACTGAGTTTTTAACTGTAAAAAGGAGATAAGTCCTTAAAATAAGGAATGCCAAATACACTCTTTTCGATAGGTTATTTATCCAAGTAAATGCAATTATCTAGGTAAGTTTTTCTTAAGAAACACTTATCCGGGTAAGTGCATTTACCCATGTTCTTTTGTCTCACTTTGGAAAGAGTACAAATGCAAATACATACAAAATAATACAAAATATAAGGTTTTGCACTGCATATTTGCATTTGTACTCTTTTCAAATGGAGCCTTTACTTCTCAGATAAATAAGATAATGACCATTTTAGTCATAAAAAATTATTATTAAAAGGGGCATTTTTGTCCCATTCAGGTGTGAGCAACCTTCTTCCTAGGTGGGAAAGTTATTTATCCACGTAGGAGATGGGTATCACTTACTTGGTTAAGTGATACCTAGGAAAATAAACTTTCCCTGGTCCCTGCATTAATTTGAAAAATGAACTCGGGATTCTTGGTCAATGGGATTCAACTTCCCCCTTCTCAAAATCCAAAAAAAGAACGCCACCTTAGTGTCGAAGACACACACCCTGATACAGTATTATATCAGTATCCAAGGTCACAGAGACACAAAATAGAAAGGCTTTAAGCTGCATTTGGTTGCGATGCAAATACAAATATGTACTCTACATAAGTACCTTCTTTCTTTAATCGATGCAAAACATGAGCCCCATCATTAAATGACTTAAATTTTCGGTCAAACACACCAATTACTAGAAGAGCACAAGTTTGTAATCAAAAAATGGGTACAAGTTTGACATCTTAATCATTATATTTTTGTATGGCAACCAAACGTTCACAAACGCAAACCAGGGTACATAAATACCCGGTTTGGCGTTTGTATCACAAACAAACGCAACCTTAGGGATTTTGAATAGGGGTGAAAATGGATCAGATCATGATCCAATATGAAATATGATCCTGTTTTGTCAGATTTGTATATCCTCTATCAGATTTTTTGATCAGATCAGGTCAGATAATATGATACAATTAAAAACCGGATCAAACTTGGATCACCCTCCATTTGATCGAAAAGAATCTGATCCGATCATATATACACATTTATATGTATATATATGTTATTTATTTGTTTATAAATATGTTTATATTGCACTATTTATATAAATTGTTATGTTTCTTTTTTTTAATAATTTATTAATTTTTTTAGAAATTAAATCAAATTGGATCAGATTCAAATATCCAATATCCTTCATAGGTTTGTATACCCAAATTTGAATCCAATCCCTTTGCATTCTAAATTTTGAATGTTTTTGATGATGGAAGACATCATGTTGTCAAACACCCCCTTAAATAGTGGGTCTCATCCTTTGAGCGTGGCACATGTAGCAATTATAGTCCAAAGAGGGTT